ATAAGCGATGAATTATATCGATTGTAACGCATATGCAGTGATGTTAATCTAAATGTATTGATAATATAACATAATATGTACCTCATTTGATTTGCTTATCGTAAATGCATCTCTCTCTCTCTCTCTCAAAAATCTTTCTGATAATATACTGGTATATAACAGAAGAAACATTTATAAAATATATTCTCAAATCCTTAGAAAATAAATGTTTTGTTGATTCAAACATCGCATAAATTCGTTATAAGAAATGGAAAAAAGTTAAATACAATTTAGAAAATAATTGTGTGGGCCACCCATTGAGCATGGTCCAATTCGACACCAGGGCTTTGGCACAAGGGCTTTGACACCAGGGCTTTGGCACAAGGGCTTTGGCACTGGCACATTTTTGTATTGTTATTTAATACGACAAAAATTGTGATGGTGTCAATTATTGTGCCAAAGATCACATCATATGTGTCTCTTCTAACACGTTCACCAAATCATCCCAACAATACCAACCCATCGATCACTAGAGGTATTATTAGAAGATATTTATATAATCTTGTGTTTCAAAAATTATAATTATAATTGTTTAAACAATTTATACCATTTTAAATATTATTTCAGAAATATTAGAGTGATTTGTATCGACTGAAGGTTTTCTTCAATTAAATGTCTATAATTGCAATTTTACTGCAGATATACAATGAAAGAGTAGTCATGTATTCATTCTTATACAACACTGTGTGCGCGCAATGTATGCGAGAAATGCTATTTTATAACTCATTTACTTTAGATTGTAATTTCTTAAGAAATTATCTCTAATGATGATCACAACACAACATAAGTCTCTTTAAATTGTTTGATTGCTTTTTAATGTGACTACACGTCCACTGAAACAGTACTACAATTTTGCTTAGTTCTCGTCTTTTGCAAACTTTTACTTTCTACACAAGATTAGAGTTATTGCTATTTTTTGTTAATATGTATTAAAAGTCAAACATAACTCAAATAATACAAAGCCATCCCTTAATTGTTATACACTTTAATACAATAGTACATAATCACTGATTCATGAAGTTTTGGGAAATACCCGTAAGAATCGAGTAAAAAATTGGCCACAATTCGACTCGAGTTGTGCTCAACATTCACTATAATGTTCTGTCCCGTGACTCCCGTCCTTCCTCTAAGTCTACAATTGATATTATTTTGAAATTTTTCATCAATTTCTCAAAGAATTTTTCATTTTAAGATAATTAAAAAACCAATTTTTCATCTCATAGTCGATGACAAATATAATGGCAAAGAGTGTGAGCGTGTGATTAGTTGATCACTAATACAGTACAATACTGTAGAGCACATACTGTATGGCGCATACAATGGGTCAACCATTGCCAACAGAGTAACCGGTTTTGTCATTAAAAGGAAAAGTAGATTTAATTATAAACTGTGAAGTTTTCTCACATAAACTCAATTCAATTCAACAATCGTGAGACCCATATGTCGTTTAGCACTATATTATACAGTATGTACTCAATACTACACTACACTAATCCTACACTACCTAACCATTAGCTGCCCTCAAGCCATCTAAATATAAATGAATTTATCTTTTATACTAATTCATACAACAATCATATATACAATTATATAATATTAATATACTGTACATACAGGTGCACTAGTCATTCACAAAATATGCATCATTTGCCTTCCTATACCTAATCTCTCTCTCTCTCTCTCTCTCTCTTTCTCTCTCTCTCTGTAAACCCGTCTCCAGATTGAGTCTGACGTGAAGACCCGCCGGAATCACCTGTCCTTTCAGTATTGGCTGCCATTCTTTCGATGCTATGAACGGTTCCGTCTCTTCCACCACCTCCTCCTCTCTCTCTCTCTCTCTCTCTCTCTCTCACTCACTCACTCAAGAATCTGAATTAATAAAATAATGAAGTTAATATCTTAAACATTATGTGGTCTACAGGTAATCCCAATAATATATAATTTAGTAACAATGATCGTGCAATGACCTAGGTCATTTTCTTATATAAGAGATTAGTTGTATAGAAGTAGATTTTATTTTCTAATTTTATAAATATTTCAGAACAGCATAAATGAGTTAAAGTTATAAAATGGTTAGAATAGGACTTTGTATGTGAAATGACGGTAACTTCAGACTACGTGTGAATTAATTGTTTTTGATATGAATTTGAGGATTAGTGGTGTGGATGTGTTGGTGCAGTGTCTGTGGCCGAGGAGTAGCCATTTGGTTGTTCGGTAGCATTTCTATCAGTTCCAGTTGATGTGGTGAACAAATAAGGGTTTCCTGTATGAAGGGGTGGGTCATCATTGTCTGACGGATCGGCACTTCGCGTCACTGCCGCTCAGGTATGTCGACGTGAATCTCACATCAAACTCATTAAAAGCCAGTGTAGTGTCCATTCGTTGGCTCACATCTACTACTTATGTCATATTATGATTGTATTCAAAAAAATTGTCTCTTTTTTTCATGTGCTCTCATTTCTCATTGGATGACAATTTGTATGACGTTTTGTTGTGAAGTGAATGTACGCCCCATAAGAGGGATTCAATTGAAACACTGTATAACACTCGACATCACTCGACATCAAACAGCATATAATGTCAACTCAATCACAACACAAAGCCTTAGAAACTCATTTCTTTAACTACCCTTATATCCTATGCTAACATTGAAAATCATTTGACCACATCTGATATACCAGTCCTACACATCTATTGTCATATCATTCTGTATAACATTAAAAATATTTCTATTGAAAAATATTTCACTCTTTAAGAAAATTGTAAAATAGATTGTGTTTTGCTTTACTTTATTCTCTATGTCTCTAAATATAGAGCTCATGATTTCAGTTGATTTCAAACATAAGATTTGTGTGAATTTATAGCTGACACCAAATGAATGTCATTTTTGCCATTAAAACTTCTGAAAGTCAATCTCAACTCTATTTCACTGACAAACGATGATTATTATTGTAATAATACTGTATATAAAGTAATCATTTCATATATTCTTGTTTCCATTTGGAAATTCCTTCAAATTGATTACTAATATCCGGAATATTGTAGACTATTATTACAGATACAAACCTAATTTACTTTGAAGTCCACTCCAATCACAATAATTGTGATATAAATATAACACAATTCAGTGGACACATCAATGAAAATTTTAATTTAACAAAGCAAACAATGATTACTAGTAATTATGCTGTAATGAACATTTTATAGTTGCTGTTAATATGTTATAATAAGTATAATAATTATATTGTTAGTTTTATTTTTTAAGATAATGGTTAATCATTAAATTATATTAATTTAAATCATTTAAGTTTAAAAGCAGTTATCACATCAAAATAATTATCATGTTTAAATAATCTTTTATTATATTATTCTATTGTATATAAAAAAAAGTGTATGTTTTCTTAATTAAAGTCCTGTATTACTTTAAAAAGTGTGTAATTCATACTTTTTAAAATGAGATCAGAATGTAATTTTTAATATTAAATTTTTTCCCCAAAATTTAGTTTAGTTTTAATCATATAATGGCTCAACAATCCGGACAATTGCCGTATTCTTACAAAATGTATTTATTGTGTATTGAATGTTGTTTTTATTAGATTCAGATATGTTTTGAGATTCAAAAATAATAATTAAAATTTGTGAATAATAATATTTTAAAAATAAGTTTTTAATAATAAAATATTATTGTGAAATACTATACTGTAGTTGTTATTAATTAAATAAACCTCTAAAAAGTACGATTACTCTTATTTTACTTATAATTTTATCCGATTGTTTAAAATTAATATTATTTGAGAAACATGCAAAAATCTGATAAAGTATAAAGAGCATTGGATTCTTTGATTTAGTACTTAATATATCTTTAGTCTATACTTTTACTTTTAATTTGTATTTGAATGCAATATACATATAGATACAATGTAGATAGTTCTTCATATAAGTTATACGTTAATAGATTTTTAATATAATTTTAAATAATAATTTACAACAATTCAAATTAAATTCATAAATTTGTTGAAACTCTTTAAAAGAAGTAATAGTTAGGCAGAGAGGGAGAGAGTTTGTTGGGGTTCTCTTCAAAATGAAAACTAATATTAGATTTCATCGATTATAACGTTAACAAAATGAAAATGTTTGTTGAAATAGTGATAAAAATGAATATAAGATACTGTAAAATGAAATAAAGTTGAGGCAAACAATAATAACCCTCTAATGATGCGAGCGTTGATGTGAGGATCGACAGTAAGGGCAACGACCCGTCTCTTGCATCTCGAATTCGTCCGAATGGAAAAACTGGATATAAAATGATATTAAAAATAATAATATATTAATAACAATAATATATACGAATAATTGGTGGTCACAAATACAATGCATTTCGATGGACAATACCTTAAAACAAGACTGACATACAGTTATAGGAATGTCTGGCATTAAGTTTCGGTAATACTTAATAGTTAGCGGCGGAGGAAAGTTGACGACAATTATTTCCGATGGTTTCATTCGTTGAAGTGTTGTTCGACTCACTCTTACGGGTCTATAGCTTTCGGATTCTTGATATGAGGCGAGAGTAGCCGTAAACGGATCACCGGTGGGATCGTTAGGACTCATATCGTTATTATTAAACTCCTCGTTATTGTATTGAGTGCTCATATAATCGTAGCCCAACTTTAAGGCCTGATAATTGTCTGCCTTTTCTTCCTGCCATTCAGAACCACTCATACCTTCAAAATTGAAATTTGAGTCGAGATCTGACTTTTGATTAACTAAACTCATGACATCAGAAATTCCTTCTTCGATCTCAAACTCAATCAAAGGCAGAATATCTAAAATTGTAATCAATTTAAACACATAATAATGAAATTCAATTCAATTGTTTTATTTTACCGAAAGTTGCAAATGAGTAGACGAATGGCTGATTGCAGTTAAGACATTGATTGCCATTACTATTATATAAAGGATTAGTCGTTGAGCATCGGTAGCACAAAGAAAGTAAATCCTGTGCACAACAAAGCGGTTATGATTTTGAAATTAATTGCAAAATTCTTACATTGAAATTAATATCTATTTGATTTTCATTTGTTAAAAATATATTGTACATCTTTTAAAATATTAAATGATCTCAATTTTAAGTAATCAATATTTAAATAAATGTTTTACAAATAAATAAAGCAACTTTTGTATTAAAATACTGACTATTTTCTTAAATCTAGAGATTATATTTAAAAGAGTACTTAAGAATTGATTTGAAAATGATTTCAATGAAAAGATATGATCTGGACCTCTGAATCGCTGAATGGCTTGGCTCTGATGGTGAGATCTCCCATATCAATGGCATCTTGCAATCGGATGGGAACATGCATTTTGTGCAGCTTCTCGTACACGTGTCGCACAAGTTTGAAAGCACCTAAGTTTCGGCCCTGTTTTGCCAACGCATACAATATTATGCTAACAATGGCATCGATGACAGAATTAGTGGCAGAATATATCAATTAAATATCATTTATGACATACACTTTAGAGACGCCTTCTGGAGCCGAAGCCATAGTGGAGTGAAAGAGATATCGAGCCATATTGAAGAGAGCGTCGGGGAAAAAAGCTGTGAACGGCTCCTCCTAACCCATTCCAATACAATGCCATTATTTATTGGAAATTTAATTTATAATAATAATAGAGTAGAGAAAAAACAGTAATATTTGGAACAATAAAATACAATAAATTATTGTTATATTTTTGTTTGAATTGATTGAAAGACAGATCCCAGACATTGGGGCGCAACTAAATCAGCTGTTGCTCGAGTGGACGGCCTGTCGGGCTGTTTGAGGCGCCTCTTAATAGCATATTTCCATCACATACTGGCGTCTCACGCATTGCAACAACATTTTGTTTTATAATAAAACTGATCATAAAATCTATAATGCATTCAATAATGCATTCATATACAGTATTTACTTTCTTCCTTTTTCATAATTTTTCATAAAACGTTTAAATCATTTTATTTTACAAAAAAATAATATAAATTCACTATAATTTGTTGTAATATTCAAACTATTCATTCATAATTAAAAACTAATTTCAAAATATGGATAACTTAAAAGGTAATATATGCTTCGGGGCGGATAGTTGTTGAACTCAACCTAACAATTGTAAGAATGGTCACTAACAGCAAGTTTATGCTATCATATGTATGAGCTTTTATATGAAAGTTTCATAAAATTGGATAAATTTGTTTATAAAACACATCTGATAATAAGCCAAAATGAAATAATGATATCATATTGATTAGATTCGACATTTTTAGCTATATGTTTGTTATAAATATATCATGTTCGTCATATTTAGACTAAAGATTTGGTCATAATAATTTATAATAATTTCAAATATATCTAAATACATTCAGAAACATTTAAATATGATTTTAATTAACTTAAATTATTGATAATTAACATTATAAATTATTTTTAAAACGAGCAGTTATATTATTTATTAATTATGATTAATAGGAGTAATTGACATAAAAAATTTTATAATTTAATTCGTCAACTTCTGATTCTATACATATTAAATAACATACTGTATACCTGTTATTACATTAGCTTCTGTTGTACACAATTTCAATAACAATTTCATTTGTGTTATTCTGATTTGACATTTCCTTTAGCTTTATTATTTAGATTAATACTATAGCTATAAATAACATTAAATATCAATATTGTATGGAATAATTCACTAGAGCTGACATCATGAGTATTATGACATCGCTCTAATAGTTTGTTTAATGCTGTAATTTAACTTTCAAAATAAAAACTCGATTCTATTATTGTTTTGTATTTAAAGCCCAAATAAATAATTTGTTTTAGTAACAAATATATTTATTAATTCTGTTTATTAATATCACAAATATTCTGGATTTAAATTTATAAAATAAATTAAATAAAGTAATTGTATAAGAATTGTAAATATAATATAGAATAAAACTTACAATATATCTATGAATGTTATGATAGGCATAATAAATGTTTGCAGTTTTTGATAAATCATGGTATCTGTTGATGAAATTAACTGACTGTTGTGTCTCTGGAGTGGACTCTTTGGCCAAATCAAGGCTCTGATTGGCTAATATCCAGCAATAATAAGAGGCATCATTAAAGCGATTTTCATTAATTGCATTATTCATTAGCTGTTGTAATACAAGTGAGGCTTCAGTCACTTTTCCTGCCCTATGAAAAGCTAAAGAAAGAGAGTTTTTAGCTAATTGTCAGTTCTTTAGAGCGTAACTCAAGTATTCATAAGTTATTATATTATGATTATTGCTATTATTGTGTATTATTATGTAAAAGTCGTTTTGATTTGCATCGCATGCAAGACATTGTGAGAAGAGTGGCATAAAAGTGAAGATGTATTGCAATTTGCAAGAGTGGCACGGATTGAGCACATTTGCAGGATTGCAGGTATACCTTGTTGTGCTTCGACAAAACGATCATTTTCAGCCAACCATATAGCATAGGGCACATACACGTCCTGTTTCAGGTGCGGGTAGTCATCTGCGAGTCTGAATGCCTGCCATTAGTTATTGTGATAGAGTTTCGCAGATAAATGCATGACTTGAGCGCAAAATAATAATTATTCATTAAATAATTGTATACCTCTTGCCATTGACTCGACTTTATATAAATCATTGCCAGATTCTGAACGTCACCTATTTTTTTATAGACTTCAACGGCGTTTGAATACTGTTTGCTCTTAATTAATATGTCGGCGCATAGTGTCAGTGCCTTTCGGTCAGCCCTATCCAACTGACGTACAACTGTCATAAGCCTTCATCAAATCATTTCAATACAATTATCAATAGTCTGTTTTACAATTCAATTGTAGTCGTCATTTACATATCAATCCATCCGTTTTGGCCAATGATCTCAATCGCCTTAACCGTATCGCCAGAAGCCAAATACATCTCAACCGCAGCTTTGGGTTCGTTTGAATTGTGCAACCAATCGGTTCTCTTCTTAGTTAATTGACTTTTGGTGTGGGAGTCGGCACTCGTGTACTCCTGTGCCGATTCAAACATTTGCAAATCAGTATACATTGTCACCGCTTTGCTGTCATCTCTTGACTGTTTGTATAATTTGGCCGCTTCTGCAAAATATCCTCTAAATGCCATCACATCTCCCATTAGTGACAATTCAGTTGATTTGCTTTGAGTCGTCGTCGACCGGATGTAAGACTGGATGAGCTCTAAAAACAGCCAATTCTTTGTCCTAATAAATGCTTTTCTCGCAATTTCCAGATTCATGTAATCGAGAGCACTGTTACCCAAACCAATCCAATCAGATTCTGTTACCTTAAGGCACGCTGTCTTATATGCTTCCCTTAATGTGTTTTAATCATTAGATTATCATTTGACAAATTTAAAATCCATTTCTTACAAAAACATATTCTTCTCTATATAGCGATACATTGGCGCCGATTGTGAGACTTCAACGGTTGTCACTGAATTGTATTGCAAACAAAACACTTTTGCCCCACAAAATCCAACTACAAAACCCTTAATACAAAAATATAATTTATTAAACCTAAAGCTTATAAATAAAATTATAGCAAATAAATAAGATTCTCTTTACTTTATTATTATATAAATTAATATTTAAATTCATGTTAAATTGATATGCATTAACTACCATCATATAAGTGACACACTGTGCATCTTATAAGCCAAACTTTAATGTTGAATTGTCATAAATGTTGTCAAAATAATTCAAATGTACCTGAAGGGTTTGATGATGAGCGGGGAAATCACCTGCTTTAATACTAAGAGAACCGGCACCAGAATAACTTAACATATCATCAAAGTGTGTATTCCATGAAACAGAATTGGCATTTGGCTCCTAAACAGTGAATTAATTGATTAAAATATAATTTGCAATAAATATCATTCAATTACTTGATATAACAATTGTTTAGTCCTTAAGTCAAAGACAGAGCACATGCCCTTATCGTCGACTACGGCTAACTTTCTCCGAAGTATACTTATATCGAGACAACGAACGGGGTTTGAAATTTTGATAACATTTATTGGGAAGGGATTATTAATAAATATTTGCACAATTTGTCCATTTTTAAGTCCAACGAGTAGACCCTCTCTTTCAGGCGGACCTCCAGTCGCTCTGATATAACGTATCGAAGAATCCAAAGCCCACTCTCTTTCCATCATACCATTGAATGAAAGACATTGCAATCTCTTCTCCTGACATAAGACTAGATTCTCAGAGCAAACCACGATTAGAGTGCAATCAAGTTTGTGGTTAATTTTCTCTTTCACTTTGTAGTGCATATTTGTATTGTCCAACTCTTTTGTTAATTCATAAATGATAACTCTTTCAGGCAATTGTATCTATTGATTCAACAATTAAAACATTGGTTTTTAATATAATTAAATGTGTTCTAGTTTTATTTTTTTAAACTTACAGCCAATCTGTTTTTATAAATGGCCAATTTTTTAACTAAATCTCTGCATTTTATGCGAACTATAATAATATAAAATATGATTAGAAATAAATTAAATTTAGATAAAAGAATGATAAGAACATGACTATAATGACAATTTCATTGCTAGTATTGTCTGCCCAATGAATTGAATTTAATAAAACACCTTTTTCTTCTGTTATTAGATGTTGGATAATAACGTCAGACATATTCTCTCTAAAAGCGTACCTTTCCTTATAGAGAGAGTGGACGGTTGAAAATGTCAATTCATATATCGCAACCGACCCGCCCTGACTCCCCACTGCCTGTTATTGTGCAACAAATACAATATCAAACAATTAGTTAACACAAAATCATACTTTTGACATTTTTAACAATTAATGTTTCATTCCTTGCATTAATTTCATAGAATATTGATTTAAATATTTTG